GTGGAGGCCCCGGGGACCCCAGGTTAATATATAGCCAACCTCAAGCAGATAGAATATGGGGTATGTGCGGATCTTATTATAACATACCCAAAGCCATCTTCTATCTACTTACGGGGGACTACAGGGCTTAGTTTAGGGTTTAGAGTTTAGGTTGTCCCTGCCATTCAAAGAATCTTGCCAAGCTCCCATATACAGGGATCCTGAGGAGAGTGTGGCACCCCTTGAACATCATATAATCCCTATAAATCCCTACACAATCCCAGTTCCTTTTTCATTTTCCATGTTCTTCCCCATTTGGTTCTCCATTGCTGGGGTTATATATCCCTATACAACCCCTATACTTAAACGTCATATGAGCTATAAGACCCTTCATTAAGTTTAGACTATAGCTCATACAGGAACTCAGCGCCTGGCGGGGCGGACACCCCGCGATAGGCGAAGCTCTGGCTGGCGCGGAATCTGTGCTTTTGTTGCTTCACTAGTTGCTGCCCAGCCCTCTGCTTCACTGACACATTACGCAGGATGAGGAGTCTGGACTTGGATTAGGTAAGCTTGCAAACTTGGAGGAAAGCGCTGAGCCGTCAGAGCGACAACAAGCATCCGCTTCATTGTCATCAGCAGCCTCGTACTGAACATCCTCAACGACTCTAACGACTCTGAACTCTTAGTGACTAATCAGTCTTCTCCACGGACGCTGATAAAAGACTCTGTTGCCACCGCCGTTTCTTGCAAAACCCAAAAACTCCCGACATGCAACACATTACTGATCCATCGTGGGGTATAAGCATATGGGGTTACAGGGGTGTGCAGGTCTCTGTGTGTGTGCATTTGCGGAAAAACGGAAAAATACATGGAAACTTGTGCGAAGCTGACTCAAACCAAACGTCCGTTCTCAACACAGCCAGCCACAGCGCGCCGACTTGCACAATTTGGTGTTCCATTTGACCCCCCAAATCATGGTAGTTTCCACTTTCTTTCCATCCCTTCGTTCCCTGCTAACAACCCGGGACAGACGCAGCCAGTCTGAGCTTATGGCTCAAATCCTATGATCCCTGTAGAAGCCCAATGCAACCTTCTACAGCCCATTCGTGCGCTGCTTGCCGCAGCCTCGGTCTTGCTTCTTTGTTCTGCCACACGCACTGTCCCTACCTACTGTCAATGGAGGAAATTGCATCCAACCCAAGGGACTTGGCATCCCAGGCATGTGAGCCATAGTCTAAACTCCTTAAAGGGGGCTATATAGGGGACTACTACAGGGTGTATCAGGGTGTATTAAGGGAGCTACTAGGAGTTTAGACTATGGCTCAGGTTTCTTTTAACACCCCTTCTCGCCTTTTCTAGGTTTACGGTTTGGGGTTTCGCTATAGGATGAAATTGGAGTACATCACCCAAGAATGGAGAATCAAATGGAAATCAAAATTGAAAATGAAATGGACGCATGGGTGATACGGGATTTGGTAGTTTCCCGACACAGAGGGACCCCAATATAGACCCCAATATACTGTAATCCTTTTAATGGGGATGCCCAAACGGATTCCCACCCTAAACCCTTTTTGCATCTGGAACTCCCTAAACCCTACGTAAACCCTAAACCCCAAAGACTCCACGGGATGCAAAATCTCCTCCGTGGATGCACTTCCCAGCCAGCCACTCCACTCCAAATCTTGAATCCGAAGGTGGATGGCCTTTCATTGCTTTTGTAGAAGCCTGAATAATCATAAAGGCCATCCTGAAATCGGTTTGAGGTACCCCAGGTACTAGACTTATGCAAGGGGTCTTGTACAACCTTTAACATGTTGGTAACCATTCAGGCTTCTAGATTAGCTTCCATGCAACCTGACTTTCTATGCGCCTCGGTGCAGTGATCAAACACTTCAGGAGGTAATTAATGTAGGGACATTGATAAAAAAAAATCTGGGGCATATACTATGGTTAAGGGTTTAGGGTTTAGGGTATAACAGGATTCGGTAGGGTGGATACAATGTTGCCTTTGCAGGCTTCCAACCCAAACCACCCAGAGACGCGGCACAAGAAATTCGACCTCTGTGCTTGGCACGGGGTCTTAAAATGCTTCCAGGTGAAACTAACTGGTAGCTTCCCAAAATGTAGGGACCCCAATGTAGACGCCAATATACTATAAACCTTATTATGGGGACCGCCAGATGGTACTCCCAGTTATGGGAAACCCCCAACTCGAGTGCAATGCCGAATGCACGCTCTGCCTTTGCGGCACTTGCACCCAGGGCCTACAGGTTACTGCCAGGCCTGAAGGTTGAACGGCTCCGTAACAGTCGCTAATAGTACGTAATGATAGTAGTAGTAGTAGTAATAATAATAATAATAGGCATAGGAGTAAAAATAATAAGAAGACTAATAGTAGATGAGGGGGGGGTCCAGTACCTGTGGAGGAAAACTAGCATATGAGATGGCGGTGGACAACTGCATGAATTATTTTGTGCTTGTACTACACGCAACCCTACACCCTAAACCCTATATCCTAAACCCTAAAGCCTACACCCTAACCCTAAACTAAATTATCAAATCCTAAACCCTTAACCCCAAATCACTAAGTCCTAAACCCTAAACCCCAATGAACATGTGGGTCTTTCCGAACGAGGCGTGGAACTTCCAGGGCTGCTGGTGCAAAGCAACAAAATGAAGATACTCCCTGCCCCGTAATATGGGTTTAGGATTTAGGGTTTAGGGCTTAGGATTTAGGGTTCCTCTCCCCCTAGGGATTACATTCTTGGCTTGCAGGTTGACGTCAAAAGGCAGGGGTCATATAGGGGTTATATAGGGATCAAATAGAAATTATAAAGGGATCCTAAACCCTAAACCCTGGAATTTTATAGGGATCATAAACAAGGCATGCCATCAGAGGCCACCCAACAACTCCTTCAGGGAGGAGAACTTCTGTGCCGACCTGCGCCACTCTGCTTGATATATAGGGTTCAGGGTTGAGGGTATAGTCCCGCTTAAGTAGATAGAATATGGGGTATATGGAGATCTGACTATAACATACCCAAAGCCATACATCACCGTTCTATCTGGACTATACAGCTCTGCGCAGGAGCTCAGGTACCCGCAGAAAATCTTGGGCTCCTGCATGAATACTATTATCAATGCTAAATTACCATGATTACTATTGCTATGATTACTCTGATTACTACTATTACTATTAGTCTATTACTACTAATATTACTAGTACTCGTATTGGCTGAGCGAAACCTAGCGTGAGATACAAGACTGCCTGACCCCGACTTGGCTGCCCAAACGGAGCCGGGCAGAAAGTCTTCAGGCTGAACCCGGCCAAGAAGCAGAACTGATAACCGTCTAATAATCATAGCAATACTAATAACAGTACTGATAAAAATAATCATAATAAAAGTAGTACTAGGAATATAGTACGAATGACATTGCTAATATCAAGTGATTTGATTGCCTTGAAGTAAACGCGCCTGAATGCGTTATCCCGGCTGATAGCGTACGGGAATTCCATGTCGGCGACCCGCTTTTGCTCCTGCCTGCCGGGGTCAAGAAGGTGTAGGTGTGCTACACTCTTGAACTAACAATAAAAGCACCCCTCAGAGAAAAAAAATCTGACAATACAACAATGCCGTTATATGATAAGGGGGGACTTGCTCTATGCGTGTGGAGACTTCCATCAAGAAGTAGGGGGCTTACGCACCCATTTAGCAGATTCCAGATTATGCGCCCACTAACTGCAGGCAATCCCGTTCGCTTCTTGAAAATTGAGCCGGGACTCAGTTGGCGAGCAATGTCCACCTGAGTCTAATTGGCGGTCAGTGGGAAATCGGGAACAGGATGTAGGCACTAATGCCAGGGATTGTAGGGATGACTGAAGAGATGCACTCCTCCATTCCCTCTTCTACTGCGGGTATAACTCACTATAACCCTATATAACCCAAGTTTTCGTTTCATGTTCCATGTTCTTTTCCATTTGATGCTCCGTTTTTCGGGCGACTATCCCCTAAATACCCCTATGTGAGCCTACCAACCCCTATATCCCGTTTGACCCTTATAGACACCGTATAACCAAATACAACCACCAGTAAGGAGTGGAGCACAGCTATCCCGGCACAAAAGATTCGGGCGCCCTCCTGCGGTTGTACGGCGATATGGTAGTTTCCCTAAATA